GAACATGCAATAAGAACATCGTCACAGAGGACTTGTGTGATGTTTTTTGACGAGTTCCGGATTAGTTTGCAGTCTGATTCACGTTGGATTTTCATATGGAGAACTCCAGGTACCCGCTACCACCACCAAGACAACATCACTGAACGACACCATTATGGTGGTGCAGGTTGCTCGTTTGGGATGGAATTCTACTTGGCTACAAAACAGATCAACGAGTTCATATCGGAACCATAACAGACCAAATATATCGGACATCATTCTGGAACAACATGTATATTTGTTTAGGGGTACCATGGGCGCAGAATTTGTGTTTGTGGATGACAGCGCTCGTCCTCACCGTGCAATTATTGTAAAGGAATGCCTTCAATCTGAGTATATCACCCGTAAGGAATGGCCAGTATTCTTACCTGACTTGAATCCGATACAGCATGTGTGGGATATACTTGGCCGACGAATTGCAGCCCATCAAGCACCTCCTACATGTGTACAGGAACATGTACATGTGTACAGAAAGCCTTGCTTGCGGAGTGAAGTTAATCTTCCCCAAGATCAGCTCGATAATTTGATACTCAGCATGCCTAGGAGTTGCATGGACTGTATTTCAGGTTCTGGGAGACATACAATGTATTAACCATCATACCAACCGTGTAACGTTAAGTTTTTGTAAGAGAGATATTTTTTGTAATTGCTTCCGGAAGCAAAAATCGTAGTTTTTATGAATGGTGTCATACGCACAGCATCGTTTTTGTTCTTTATCTTTCGTTCAATAAATGGGCTTTATGAATAAGCCCCGTTTTGTTTTCTTTCTGAACCTTTATATATCGGAGCTGGCATTATCCTTAATTTATGGATATGAGTGTATTTCGGGTATCATATTTCAACCGCTCTTGAATCCATTTGGAGATTTCTTGCGTGACGTCTGCATGTACGGACTTTTTTTCCAAAATTGATTGTAAAATGGATTTGATTTGGAGTTAAAAGGAATTTTTTGTAACGTCTGTACGCATTTATGTATGCATATATGTATCTTGCATAATTGAAAATTAATAAGCCGCAGAACGTGGAAATTTTGTACATGGGACTGCTGTAACGTCGCGTTGTGTAATTTTTTCATATATATATGTGTGTGTGTGTGTTTGAGATAAAAAATATGTAAATCAGCTTTATAATTCATTTGAACAATAGGCTTTTCCATTTCCTCATTTTTAATTTTAGTTTTTCCTCTGTGTATTCTAAAAATAGCAATAACGTTCTTGGACTGCGTTATTTCTAAATCAATCTATAATACCTCGCTTGCGTTATACTTATGATGTAGCTAACTGGGAACTTGAACTCAAGATTTTGAGAACTGAAACTTTTCTAACCCAAACCAAAACCTTCCTCTTAGCGATCTTCCATATTGCATAAATGCGCAAATAGCTTCTACCTTTGTTGCAGCTTGGACGCTGTTTCGCTTTGCTCTCTTCCTACTTCAATAGTATTCAAAAATGAAAAATGTTCTTGAGTAGATACGATTAGTAAATTGTGGCCAAATATGTCAATTGAAATACTAGGCTGCCAAGTTTCCTCTACAATATGAATTTACTATCTATCCTATCTATGTGATGCACAATCAATATTTCTGCATTTCTACATTTCAGTATTCCTACATAAGTACTTCTCTAAATTTATTTTCATTACATATATATTATATGTAAGATAAAAAATATTGTGGTGTGTTGGTGTATTTAATTATGGCAAAACACACGAGGGCTATATGCCTAAGGGGAGGGATGCCTTCGTGGAGGACTTTCTAAGGGAAACTGGCTCGTATACACGTTACCCTAAAAGATAAATTATAATTTAAATTAGCACTAGCCTCTTAATGCACAAACTAAATTTACTCTCGGTATTCCAAAAACAGTAATCTTATTCTGCATAGCGTCATTTCGAGACTAAGCCTTATCGTATGACTCTTACATGCCACTAATGATGTAAGTGGAGCTAAAACTCAAACAGCTAATAGTAACTTTACAGCAGTATTGATTATCCAATAAAAATGCATTTACAATCAAAACTAATTACGTCTTAATTTAGATTTCATCCTGAGCACAACGCACTTGTTTTCTACACTTAGGCCTAGCTGGACTACTGCCTGTTGCTCTCTTTTTACTGCAAAGATGTCAAAAATGTAAATATTTCGAAATAGGTACAATTAGTGTACCGGGTTGTTTGTGGCCGCAACATCTTTACTGAAATTGAAGATTTAATCTGCCTCGGCTGCCAGTTTCTTATTCATTATTGGATCAATATTCTGTGCAATCAAAATTCTTGTTGTTCATTACAGATACAGCATTCCACATTATATTCAGTCTACGTGATATGCCATGATTAGCTCTACTTATTGGTGCATTCAGTTTTTCTACAACATCATTACTTCTAGAATTTTACTTCATCACAATGACAAAATGCCAATTTTCGCGCACTTACGTAACTGCGAATGTTTACCTTAAAATACTTACCTGAAGTAAGCATAGTTACATTATTTATAGCAGAATGTGATTTTTCTTGCAACACTTGCGTACGTGAGATTATACCAAGTCACCATTTCTTCAAAAGTGTTTAGCAGGTACTGCATAGGTTTGTTCAGCGAAAAGTAATTGTACTTGAAATTCGAAGTATCCGAGAGCGTGTGTTAATTTAAACGAGATATTTCAAACAATTTTGTTTGTATCGATACCTTTAAAAGAATAGGTTTCCTGATCGACCCCCTCATATTTTGCTCTACATTACAGAGTATACATCATAATCATTATATAAATTATTGCGCATACATAACAATTACACTAAAATGTGAAGAAAGTTTTGAAACAAATGGTTTGTTAGGTTTATGTTTTTTTTTTCTTTTTTTATATTCTTATTATTTTGATTTTACAAATATTATCAACAACCTTTCAGACACAAAAATCTCAGATTCTATAATTGCATAAAACTTCGATTTTAATGAATGTGATAAATGCTCTTCATATATTAATGCAATGCTTTGAATATTTGGCATAAAATTACTTAGCTTAATTCTTAAATCATTTCGCTCAGAAATATTCAACCTTTTTTTTTTTTTTTTTTTTTTTGTTTGTTTGTTTTTCGTAGTTTACTGTATCTTCGCTTTTCCGTTTCTCTACCAGAATGAAAATTAGTTTGAGAGCATTTAGGCTGAGGGTTCGGAATTTGGGACACAGAGTGTTTCACAACCTCAAGGCTAAATTACTAGGTTTCGCTAGCTTTGATAAGATTAATAATTCTTCGGCTTTACTTTATAACTACTAATATGTAAATTGTCACGCCGGTGAGAAATTTTGAGCTAACTTTGCGTTTAACCAGTTGTGTAGTCTTTGACTACTAGATTTAGTTTGAATTTGAAATTGACTGTTACTTTTACGTTGTCTAGTCACATGTGGTGGTTGAACTCCTAACGCACGAGAAGAGCATTTCATATTCAAGAAGTTTTAACGTGAAAAATAACGCCTTTCTAGTACGTTACAAGTTCTTTTCAGACGAAGTGATAAGTCTTTTAGGAGTTTGATGCTAGCTTATGCTACTAAATATAACCATGTTCTATAAAGTTATTGACGTGACTAGATCCTGATACCAGTAGATAAAAAGAGGGGAAAATCAATGATGTTGGTCTGGTAATAATATTAATTTCGGAATATTGCTCACAGATGACTTAAATTTTGAAACTTAGCGTACCGATGCGTTTTGAAATAGACTTGACTTATTTATAAGATTAAGCTTTATATTAATAAAGAATAATTATGAGTTTTATTAATACTTTTTTTTTATAATCAATGGGACTTTGATTATGACTATCAGTTGCTGATGCCTCTTCGGCCATCGACCCCTTATCTAATCTTTACCATCATAGAACCCTTTTAAAATTTCATCAACCTTCAAGGGATATGTATCGACCCCATTGGGAATCCTTGCATTTAACTGTGATCAAAGTATTATCCAAGAAGTGTTTTAAGTGAGTCTTTTAACATCTGTCTTGCAGCTCAAAAGTAATTATTTGATCTATTTATTCACGTTTCCCTTGCTAGATGTTTTTTTAAAGCATTTTATTGCTTATTGAGTATTTAATAGGTTTCATTTAATATATAATTCAGTGGATATATAAATATACACTATCATAAGAGATGTTCTTGTTAGTAATATTTAGAATACAATAAAATACTAATAATATTGACTTTAATTACATTTCGACATGAAAATTCAAAAGACAATTTAAAATTTGGCATGCGTTTCAAATTAAAAGCAAGTTTGACAATATTCTGTTAGATCAAGATCTAACTTTAAATATTCCGAATTTTCAGCTACTTCTTTGTTTTTTTCGCATTAGACACAGAGAGATAAGTGTTTTTTCCTAAGCATTATTCCGAATTAATAATTATTTAAAATTTACATAATTATTTATTCAATTTTAAATTGAATTTATGATTAAAATTGTTAACATTAATAGTAAAGAGATTTAAATTATTATAATTACTATAGATATCTGAAAAGAAAATTTTTATACATGTCCCGAATTATGTATGTGGATAAAAAGAAGTGTAAAATATTTAAGAGCAATTATTATGCGTTCAAATATAAATATTTTGTGTGTGATTGGTTGCATTAAATATATTTAAGAAAGTTATAATGATGAAATATTCGAATAATAATTCTCAATCAGTTTATTCTAACAGATCTAACTATGATTCTAATTAATTTGTAATCATAATTACTTGATATGTGGTCACAAATTTTACCATTTTTCAAATTAATATCTATCCTCTCAGCATTAACAGTTGTAACGTAAGTCACTGAACAAACATTTGAGTTCCAGAAATTTACCTGCTAATCCAAATATTATTACATACCCGAAAAAAAATTCCATTTGCTTTAATGGTAGCGTGGTTCATATGAAAATATCTTACCATTATTTGAAATTATACTGTTACACATAATACATAAAAAAGCACTTTGTGTTTAAAAATATTATTTTATTTTCTGTATTTACATTTTCTTTAATGCCTAAATATGGCACAATATCTTGTAATGGCTCGTGACATATACTTCTTGTCTTCAAAAAATTGAAGCAGCCGAGCTCTATATCCAAGCACAGCGAAAATATATTTTAACCTTTTACCATTTGGCCATGTACTGAGCCATTCCAGGCCCTCCGGTCATAATGACATTTGCGCCTCCATAGTGTGCAGGGCCATACCACGGGGCAACAGGAGCAATAGGGACAGCGGCTGGAGGAGCCTTGGGTGCCATAGCGGCGAGAGCAGCAGCAGCTGCGGCTGTTTTTCTGTCTACAGATATGTCCCCACTTGCTTGATAGCCTCCTGGTCCAGCAGTGTATTGAACGGTGCGAAGATCTCCGTTAGGATCAACGTAACTGTAACTCCCAGCGACGTTTCCAGCGGTACCGGACTCCACTCGGCTGTGTCCACCAGCATCACCAGTGGCGTAACCGAAATTGTAGGCTCCACCGTGGATGTTCATGCCCATATTGGCGGCCATGGCGGCAGAGGCCAAGAAAAGTGGAAGCAGGAGCTGAAAAATACAGAGATTCCTTCGTTTAAAATTACTGGAAAATAGCGTTTAATTTTAATTCATCTTTATTATAAAGATCTAAACTAAACTAAATTTTGAAATTCCGGAAAAGGAAAATTTGAATTTCGAATGCATTTGTATGAAAATTAAGCACTAAAAGGAGATGTAAGTAAAGAAACTGTTCTGATGGATGAACTGTGATAGGCAAACTGATATCAAGAAGATAATCATCAATAATAACTATAAACTATACCTAAAGCAAAACATTCGCCTTTTGCAGATTACTTCATATTCATCTGATTTAAGATGCAGTATTAATTTGCCTCGAATCGAGGTATTTTACATTAAACAATGATTCATAAACTCATGAAACTTTTCTTGTTGAAACAATGATTTCCAACTGTTATATACTCGCAGAGAAGGGGAGAATAATGTGTGGTTTTTGTGCTGTACAATAACTGTGCTTTATAATTTATTAAAATTTCACATAGTACATAGTATTAATAAAATACAACCATAGTAAAATCTTATGAAACTAAGATGTTCTCTTTATATAATTTGAAAAGATTTATTTTTGTTAATTTACAGGAATTATGGCTAAAGTATGTTTCTATTAGCAAACTTAATGCTAATAAAATATTCTTTAAAAATAAATATTTAAAAGAATTTAATTTTTTATGCAATCTGATATCGCTTTGGAGTTAAACAGCTACTGTAGTGTTAATTTCTAAAGCACATTTAGTACAAATAGCAACTGCAATTTTTAAAGTATTTTCCAGGCAGAATTCTGAATTCAGATAATAACAACAGAAAGATAATGCTAAAATAGAAAGATAATGCTGAACAGAAAGATAATGCTAAAATGAAACTTAACTATATTACTAAAAGTATCTTACTTACTATTTCTTAAAAGTTACTATTAAACTACAGTTATTTTAAAGTTACTATTTCTTAACTGAAATGTTATATAATTATTATTAAGAACTAACTACAATATTCATTTTATAAATTTTAATAATTTTAGGCATAAAGTTTATAAGGTATTTCTCCCACGTTCTTGGCGTGCCTTCGTGGTGTAGTGGTTCTGTAGGCTGGGCAGGTATTCCAGAAGTGTTCGGGCGCCACTGTAGAGACATTGGGATTTTCGGAAGCCGGAGAGATGAAAAATTAGCAATCGTCTTCACCGGGAATCGAACCACGGGCCTCTAGAGTACCGGCTCAGCGTGCAGAACCACTACACCACGAAGGCACGCAAAGAAGGTGGGAGAAATACCTTAGTATAAACTTATAATTAAAGTTTTACAAATTTTTTCTGAATCATTCATAATTTCACAAATATGTACGTCAGTTAGTTGAACTAGGTAATTTAACGCTTTCATTTGTTATTCCGTATGATTAGTATCACTTTTAGTTTTATTGAAAAATTGCCCAGAGATCTGAAAGTACTGGAGTGCGATATAAAGTGAAATTAAATGCAGAAACAGTGGGAAAAGTCATTTAAATATCAGAATTTATATTATTAATCGTACTATTCATAAGACAATTATTAGCTATAATTACATATAATTACAGGGTAATAATTATTAGTTATAGGATAATAATTACTATAATATTTAGGTGGAGAATTTTCTTAATAAGTAGTTTAAATATTAAACAAATGTTTGTACATACTCATCAAAAACAATTAAATTTCAACCTCTTTGCAGCAAGTGTGTGCTTTAGAATCTCTCTTTAAATATTTAAATTTTAAATATTCTACAAGCTCTTTAAATATTTAATTATATTATTTTCTTTAACCTCATAGAAATTACTCCCATGATTTCTAAATTTTAAAAATAAATTTTAAAGTAAAATATAATTCGCAATAGTAAGTATCATATATGATCCGTATTTACGAATGCCTAAAGAATTTGTCTCTTCAAAGATGAAGTAATGATAAATAAACAGCATTTAAATTAATTTCTACACAGAACATTATATACATATAATGTTCTATATAGATATGTAATGTTCTAACATATATAGTATATATAAAGTTCTATATAGATATATAATGTTCTGTATAGGTATATGATGTTCTATATAGATATATAATATTCTAACATATTTAAACTGAAAATAAACACAGTAACTTAAAAACGTAATAAATTCGTATGGATAAAAAATAACGAAATGTCTAGTTAAGTATATGCATAAATAATCAGCATTCTTAAAATACATAGTAAATATAAATTACGGATTTGTAAACTTACAAATCTCATGATCGGTCTAAGATGGCAGGTTGAGATGCTTGCTGTACACCTGAAGAAGTAGGAATAATTTGAAAGTGTCTGCTGTGGACGTATTTATATCCAAATTCGTTGTCTAATTTTCTTGCGCATTCCATTCATAAATTTATTTACAAACAAACGCACGTGATAGAAGTGTGTTTCTCATGGTCGTCGCATCCAATAAAATGAGGACCAAAAAGAAATGGAATGTCGAACAAGGTCATATATAGATTAGTAGGAAGTTCAATCACTTCCGTTGCATCTCTTTTCTTTTTTGCATATTTTTCTCTATTAGCGCAGTTATTCATGGCCGATATTAATTGAAATTGACATATTTGCACAATTTGCAATTAGGCTTACCATTTCATCATTTTCTAATTCAAAAGAATTGATGTTATACTAATAGTCTTTGGACTTTATAAGTTCTTGAACATTAATTGTCCCGGAATTTTAACTAAAATATTTCTCTTGTATATACAAAGTTTTTAATCCAGTATTTGTAATTTTAAAATATGAATGTTTGAAAAACTTGCATTATTTATGCTGAAAAGAAATTTTAAATTTTTGAATGAAAATGCGTTTCAAGCCGCACACAAATTTAATATCATTTTACATAAATAATAATTAATAATCTCACATAAGTAATAATCTCACATAAGTAATAAGTAATAATCTCACATAAGTAATAATTGTTATTTTAAACCCTAAAAATATCTAAACGTTCTGGAAATATTTCGAAGGCTAAAGATTAATCATACTATTGTTTAAATCTTCATTAATAATTGAACCATTCGTATTTTAAAGACTCTAATTGAAAATAAAAATGTTAACTACCTTTAATAAAAGCTTAGCTTTTCCAAACGTTTACACTTGTATCATAAAAATAACTATTTTGGGGCAGCTATTCATGCATAGATAAATTAATTGATAATTATTACATGTTTCACAATCACAGTTTATAACAATCTGTCTCGAAATCCAGTATTTATAACCATCAATTATATTACTTTTCCTCTACCTTCTCTCTAATATCAGTATTTATGTATAATTTCAGATGAAAATCAAATCGGGGAAGAAAGTTGGTGTATTTAATTATGGCAAAGCACACGAGGGCTATCTGCCTAAGGGGAGGGATGCCTTTCGTGGAGGACTTTTTAAGGGAAACTGGCTCGTATACACGTTACACATGGGGAAAACCACGAAAACGCCCATGCAGCCAGCCCGTTCGCGGGATTCGAACCTCGGACCGAACTACCAGTGTTCAGCGACTTTACCGCTCGGCCGCTGGTGGGCCCCGGGGAAGAAAGAATTCGCTATCTAAGAAATTTTCTTTATTAGACCAACAGTTCATGATGAAAAGTGTCTCCAGTCAATAAATGTTTCTGATGATTTCTAAAAAAATAAATTTTCTTCCAATTGTAATATTATTCTGTACATCAGCTGATTTAGAAGGTCATTCATATAATTTTAAACTAAATTTATTCTTTGTTTTACTCATTTTTGTCTGTAGTCTTAGGAATGTTTTAAATAATACTTTAATTTACTAACAGAAGTAACGGAATTGAAGTAAATGTAATTTTAACTTTATTTTTTTTCTCAGTTACTGACTTCGATGATAACTTACAAAACAAGCATGTTGATATTTTTAAATAACTTATCAAATTTCAATAAATTTATGTACATGTACAGTGGTTATCGAGCTGAAATAATTGTAGCAATAAAATTAAACTGCAGAGTATCACATAAATCCCGAACGCAATTCAAAAACATATCATACAAAATCAGGAAACCGGCTTAGAAGAACGGAGTTTGCTTTAAAGACATTATAGCTAAATCCACTACCTGAAAGCCTTTGATTTTTATTGATGGATAATTCTATTTGTATCAAACTACATGAATAGAATGAAAATAATTATGCTGTATTTATTTGTCTACATAAACTTTATTATGAATAAAACAGCAGACCATCATGAGTTCTCAGTAATACATTTTCTTTCAAGAAGTTTGCACATTTTAGTGATATTAACAGTTATCATCAGTTAATGAAAATCTGAATTCAATGCATTTTATGCAATATGCAGTCTTTAGATTCAAAACGTCTAATGCGGAAGTTTGGTTATTTCATGTGATATTTAAGATGCATCTAAATTTATGAAACATCTTGTATTAGAACAAACCATATTAAGAATTTCATCAAACATTTTAAAAAGCTAATTTGCAAAGCGAAGCAAAAATGTTAAAATGTTTTGATTGATAATGGAATTAACTTATACATATATCTTTAAAAGAAAATATGGCTACATATAACTCAATTTATACTGCACAAAATTGTCAAAGCTTATCGATAGCGAAAGCTTAATTTATGAGCATTTAATGTTAAAAAATTTTAATGTACTATAATCTCTTATTAGGAATATTTGACCTTCATAAACCGTTCTACCGGGTTCCAATATTTAGGTTCATTCCATAAATATTGTGGTGTTATGGATTTGTATGATGTAGTCCTGAAAAAGAATACGTGCGATATACAACTCAATTCAAGTTTAATTAAGGCTTAATATGTTCTGTGCTATGAAGGAAGATACATATGTAGTTACGATTATTAAAATAATCGCCACAAAAGAGCTAAATGATTTAGCTATTTGTGACCTGATGCATTTAGTCTTTAGATATAAAATAGGATATATGCAAATTTAGTAGCAAATATCTATAAACTACAATTCTGATATTAAGCAGTCTAATATTAAGCATTGTCAGCAAAATTTTTATTGGCGTGGAATTTCTACCTTGACTGTGAGCTTCTTATTTAAACGACTAGTACATCTCAATGAAGACTTTTTGAAGATCATAATCAAGCAATAAATAGTGCGAAATTAAACGAGCAATTTAATTTAAAAAACTGAACTAGTCATCAAGATCTGTCTAAAAATAGGGGAACCTGTCAAATTTAAAAAAGTAGTTACCTTAAGAAATGTGTTTTATACAAATGCAACAAAGAATGTATGGTACGCTTCTATTTCGTTTCGTAAATCAAAAAACAAAAGATTTTTTTATTTTATTATTACTAGGGGTTATTGATTTTTATCTTAAATTTAAACGCTGTGAAAAATATCTGGACCCTAGAAATAACCAATATTTCTTAAGCACCTATAGTATTAGTTAGATGTTTACATTTTGGAGACAAGTGCCATCTTAAAAGGTCTTCTTGCCGGAAGGTTAAAGGAACACAATTAGCAAAGAACTAAAACTTTGAGATAAAATTATTGAACAATGAAAATAATCATGAAATATGTATTATTAATTCAATATTTAAAAAAAATAGTAATTCATTCATTCTAGGTTTTCCCATTATGAACGAAATCTATCTTTATAAGATTATTATAAGATTACCATATTAAAATACGGTAATATTTTTAGATAATCTATACAGTGGTGGCACTACACTTATGCATGAGAGATATATCCTGAATTAATATTCTTCAATTTTAATTCGCTGCCCATTTTGACTTAACTAGACAGCAGGAAGGCTTAAGTCCTATCTATACTCTTATACCGCATGAATTAATATTGCTCTGTCAAGTTCATAAAGATCAATTACTCTTAAAGATTTTAGTGCCTGCCCAAATTCTTGACAGGGACGTCGAGTTTCATCCTCTGCTTACCTTAGAATGTATAATTTCCATTGTAGGGGAGAATACTTAAAAATAAATGGGTTTTTCTGACATGTATTTTAGTTTTTAGAAAATGCTGCACGATGTAGTGATGTATGGGTATGTATATATATATATATATATTCGTTTCTTTAAATTTTATAACAAATATTGGATTAAATGAACAACGTTTTCTATTTATAATATATATTTATATATACATACTTTTCTCTTCCGTAGGTTTGACTAGCTATTTAGAGCTAACCACGTAACTATCTGTTTTGATCATTAAATGTACCCTTCACTGAACAGGAATTCCTACCTGATTACTTGTATATAGTTATCTCTTTTCTATATATGTTTTTCTTTTGATGTGCAAATGTGATATCAAGAATAAATTCCTAACCCATTTTCTGAGCACGAACAATTGCGCCGCGCCTTTCGGAATTCTGCTGCGTTATACTTACTGCCCTGACTGGTTTATTCCTGATTATTAACAGATCGTGTTGAGTATAATATAATAAAATTAACAAAAGGGGTTAAAAGTATCTAGATATTTATCGGTCTATAGAAACTGTTTTCTTTAACATTACGTTTATGTCTAAATAAAAACAGAATTTGTACGGAATGGGCTCTGATTGGTTTAATGATATCTTTCCGGTAGATCATTCAACTTTACTTCTATTCTTGTGCATTAAAAGTGAGACAACTGGTATTTGAAATATTAATCAAAAATTAGGCATAGTCTTGTTCTTTCTCTTAGTGTTATTTTCCTTTTCATATTTTCAAATCCTGTTATAAAAGTAGAATAAGCCCTCAAATTGTTAAAATGGCTTAAAATTTTATATTCATTTTAGTTGAAGTTTATGGTAAAAGTTTAATAAAAAATTTAATATTTATATAGAAAAAGGTTTTCTGTCATGCTTTTGTACAAAAAATCGAGTTCTGTGTATAATTATTACTTTACTGGTACTGATAATATTTATTTATTTCTAATTATAACGGGATAGCCTAGATTGAAGACTTTTACATGCTTCCATGTAAGCATATTACTTATAGAACGTAATTTAAAACGTTTCTTTCGTATAATGTAATAATAAATGAATTCTTCTGCAATGCGTTAGTTAACTTTTCGGTTTTTCTTTTGCAAATAATATTATTTTTTTTTCAATAACAGCTGCAGTGGTTCTATGGCATTGTATTTTAGTTGGCCCTATGTCGGTTGGCCCTATACCTAAAAAAAAAGTTTTAATTTAATATTTAATTTCAGATAAACACTGTATTAATTTTATAATCATAATTAACATTACCTGCAACCTTTTCATATCTGTTATTTTGAACAGTACTTAGAAAAAAGAAATTAAATTTGTTAAATTTTATTTAATTTTGTGTTAAACTTTGATTTCATCTTATATCAGTATTATACGCTGATTAAATACTTTAACATTAAAAATAACAGCTTTGGATTCATTCTAAATTAATTTAA